ATGGAGGCAGTGACAGATTTTATTTTCCTGGGCTCCATGATCACTGCAGATGGAGACAGCAGCCACGAAATTAAAAGACGCCTGCTTCTTGGGAGGAAAGCGATGACAAATCTTGACAGCATCATAAAAAGCAGAGACATCACATTGCCAACAAAAGTCAGAATAGTCAAAGCTATGGTTGTTGTGGGTTTTTCGGGCTTCTTGGCTGTGTTCTGAAGGTGGTTCTTCCTGACGTTTCGCCAGTCTCTGTGGCCGGCATCTTCAGAGGACAGCAAACTGTCCTCTGAAGCCCGAAAAACCCACAACAACCATTAGATCCCGGCCGTGAAAGCCTTCGCGAATACAGTCAAAGCTATGGTTTTTCCTCTTGTGATGTATGGTAGTGAGAGCTGGACCATAAAGAAAGCAGACCACCGAAGAATTGATGCCTTTGAATTGTGGTGCTGGAGGAGGCTCTTGAGAGTCCCCTGGAACGACTAAACGACTAAACACACACAAGGTAGAGGAGTGTATAGTCTGAGGGTCACATGCATGTCTGAATGTCACCTCTCTCTCTCATTTTTGATAGGAAGAGGAGAAGAGTTGATCCCATTCCTTAGATCAAGAATGGCCTAAGAATGGGCATGAAATATCAACTGCAGTTTAGATCCTTTTGAAAACATAAGACAACCACTGGAGGATCTTGGTTGTCTGGTATATTTTTCCTAAGATGGTGGGGGATATCCTGGGGGCTGTACTGGGTGTCAGTGGTGTTATGTACTAGTAGGGTGTGCCGGGGGGTGTGTGCGGGCGGCCACACGGCTGCCTTGTTCATCTTAGGTGTGCCAAATGTAAACCGCCTAGAGGGTTTGCGATGAACAGATGGGCGGGGTATAAATGGAATGAATGAATGAATGAATGAATGAATGAATGAATGAATGAATGAATGAATGAATGAATGAATGAATGAATGAATTTCTATCCAAAGAAAATCCTTCCCCAGGAACAATAAATAAATAAATAAATAAATAAATGTCTGCCAGCTGCCTTTATATCCATAGAGATGATCTTTAAAGATATGGGTTCAGTGTGGTCCTTGAACCTTCAGAGCATAGTTTGTTGGGTGACTATCTTGCATTTTGTCTTTATTGCTTACTGTATGATTGGCATCAGAAATCCTTATCCTGCCTGAGAAGAAGCTAGTTGAGGGGTCGCTAGTGATCCCTGGATTGTCTCCCTGTCTCTGAGTAACAATGTAGATTCCCGGTACTTCTATATGTTTGTAGTTGCCATCGGTCTGTAGAGCTTGGCAGAATTTTGTTTGTTTGTGGGTTTTTTTTGCCAGAGACTGGAATAACTCCCAACAGTGGCCCCATTCAGTATGCCACTGTGTCCCGTGCAACAGGACGTCCAGTCAGCCTTAATTTGTCTCGTTCCAAAAGCATCAGCAATAGCAACCCTGACCTGACCACCACACCAAATTCCCCAGATGAGGAGGTGCAGAAGATCATGAGTAGTAAGGTAAGCGTGGCTGAAGACGAGGGGAGGAGGGAATACATAGCAACGCAGAGGGACGCATTGTCAGGGCGATTTGTGTCTCCACCCCAAAAGGTCCCATGCTCCACTTCTCTGTGCCACATCATGCCAGTCATATGGGGAGAGTGAATTTTATGCTGTACCTCTTTTTTTCCAGATGTTTAATAGTGTTAATAATTTAATAAAAGTGCAGCAGGCGGACCATAGCACCTCCAAATATTTTTACACTATGTTTAAATGGCAACATTAGTGTCCTCATTAAAACTAGAGAATCCACTCCAGCAGCATGACTTAGCTAGGCTACATGTTAAGTGAAAGAGAGATTACACCCCTGTGGGGGAGGGGGGAGGGGAAGAAGCAGTGACATGCATTAGTCTGAGCATTTGTGCAGCCAAGACTGGGCCCAGAAAAAGCCCTGTGTCAACACACGTGTGGCTTTTTTGATTGTGTGATTGATGCCAGGAAGAAGACAGTGAGTTGTGGTTCACCCCAAATCTGCCTCGTAAGACTAGAAAACTCTGTTGTTACAGAGTACAGTCAGCAAGACCATTTGACAAAGTCACCACGTGAGTGTCCAAGATTGTTTCAGGGACTTCAGAAAGCTTCCTGCTTATGTTGTTGTGCACGTATGATGGAAGTCCATACCATTTTGTGTCTGCTACAAGTGAACCATTTGTTTGAGCCAGACTCTGTCCAGTGCGTGTAACATGGCAAGAATTGGAAGCGAGATAAGCCTCTTAGATTAAAATGGTGCCTGCCTTCTGCTTCTCCCGGGCTACATATGTAAGCTAAAGAAACAGGAAAGAGATAAAACACATGCCATGTAATTTATTACTAACATAAAAAAGAGTTTTCACAACATCATGATAACAAATGCTTTCTGGGTGAACCTGAGAAAATACAGTATGTAAACCGTAACTGATAGCTAGAAAACCAAGATAAAACCAGCAAGAAAAATGAAAACACTGCATCACATGAAGCTGTAGAGAAAGCGAGTGAAAAGTGAGGTTACTGCTTATATATTCACCCAGTACAAATTTACACCAGCTTCCCCCAATTCTGGTTTGGAGTTTTTTTTTTCTGCCAGCTTCAGACTTTCATTTTTGCTTAGGAGTGATTACTTTAGGCATAGCGAGGACCGTAAACTAGTCCATACAATTAGAACCAGTGGCTGTTCTGAAGTAATTGCTTCAGGCCTGGACTTTGCTACAGCTATTTAAGGCATTTACCTGCAGTGACTTGGGGAGCTGTTGTCCCCAGTAAACTTCAAATATGCCTTTGTCTGGGCATTACCCCAGCATTCCCACCACTACCACCAAGAGGACCTGGGCTAGAATAGAGTATGTCTGCAAAGTACTTCTGCAGTATTTTCCAGGATATAAATCAGTGTCACACAGCGTCCAGAAAGGTGAATGCTCCCTGCTGCTTTCTCCACTGTTGTTAATCACTTCCTTTGCTCCTTGTCCTTTCTGCTGGATGCTGGTGCTGCATTCTGAGACCTGAATATCTGCTTCCCGAATCCTGAATACTTTGTGGTTGTGAAGAACCTGGACCAAAAGCTCCCTGATGGTCTGTGCACCTTCCTTTCAGTTACTAAGAAATGCAAATTGAGCTCCGAGGTTCTGGTACTAAGGTTCGTTATCCTCTGCTTTGCAGCTACCAGCTGCCTTTGGCATAGCCTTTTCTGGAGTGGCCCCACTTTCTTCTTCAGCAGCAGCAACAGTTGTGGGTTTTTCTGAAGCAGTTTGGGTTCTTTTGCTCTAATCTGTGACTCTCTGTTGCGATTGATTTTTTTTACTTCCATAATCTTCTTTTGCATATTGCCTAGGGGATCGACCGCTCTCACTCCTGGGTCAATTCAGCTTATGCCCCTGGAGGCCCCAAATCTGTGCTTCGCAGGAATCATCCGAACTCCAGCACGGATCTGAAGCAGGTGCTTTTCGTCTCCTAACCTTGGGCTTGGAGTTTTCCCTTGCCTCCTTTCTTGACTTGCTTGCTAGTTAGAGGACAGCTGCCGTAGCAGCCAGCAGAAGGTTAAAGAAGGATGCTTTCCATAAGCCTAGGGTGGGTGGCTCTTCAACACAACAGCCAGCACCAAGGGCAGTTTAATGCTTTGCCCACTTTTCCTTTGCCATTTTGGAGGGGAGGAAGTTTTCAGTCTGGAGAACAGGAGGTGTGCCTTCAAGAAAAGAGCCCCAGTAGCTTGAGGTGGCATGAAATAGAGTCCTCTGTATGAGGTAAAGAGAACAGAGCAGAGAACAGAACTGGAAGCTTTCAGGTTTGGCATTGTCGGGGAAAAGGTTTGTTTGCAAAAGTCTGTGCAAGGCCTTGTTTACTTTCCTCATGCAATTTGTGTTTGCTCTAGACTACGGTGTGGGAGATTCCCTGGGCCAAGTGTGGTGCAGTATGACCTGATCATCTAGACATAGGAGATCAGTCAGCCTTAGTCTCTTAACGGCCGCCTCCTAATCATGGCTGTGTTGTGGCTGCAGTTAGGTTCAGGTCATCTCTGTCAATCAGGTATGGTGAAGCTTTGGCACCTCTGATGTTTCCCATCAGCACCATCTGCCATGGCCAGTGTCAGGGGATTGTGGAAATGGTGGTCTCAAAATATCTGGAGGGATGCGTTTCCCTTTCCAAACAGAGGTCACATAAAATGTCGTTACTTAGGCATGCGAAAAACGTTGTGCGATCGCATTAGCGATCCGAAAAAACGGATCGCTATGCGATTTAATCGTTATACGGTGCGCTCGTTAAGCGAGGCACCACTGTATCTGGAGGGATGTGTTTCCCTTTCCAAACAGAGGTCACATAAAATGTCGTTACTTAGGCACATGTACTTATTGCTGTTCCACTCAAATGGGCCTCAGGTTGACCTACAAAGAAGATAAATACAGTGGTGCCTCGCTTAATGGCAATAATCCGTTCCAGGAAAATCGCTGTTAAGCGAAAACATTGTACAGCGTGAAAGAAAGCCCCATTGAAACGCATTGAAACCCCTTCAATGCATTCCAATGGGGTCAAAACTCACCGTCCAGCAAAGATCCTCCATAGGGCAGCCATTTTCGCTGCCTGTCTTGCGAGTAATCCATCCCAGAAAATAGCAGGAAGCCATTTTGTTTACCCGGTCGCCATTTTGAAATCGTCGTTTTGTGAAGAATCGGTTCCCGAAGCAGGGAACTGATCATCGCAAAGCGAAAAAAAAACATTTAGACCATCGTTTTGCGATTGCAAAAAGATTGTCGTAATGCGGTTTCATCATAATGCGGGGCAATCGTAAAGCGAGGCACGACTGTACTGATACTTGTAAAAATGTGAATTAATATAATTCATTGTTGCTGCTTCTGAGCAGCCTCTCAGTTGCTGAGACTTTAAAGAGTCTATCCTGGCTCCTCAGCAAGATGATCAGATGTAAGGGTCCACTGGCCATTTCATCAGCCTTAGGTCTGCCTTTCATATTAAGTCACAGTTGTAGGATTCTGTGGACTTTAGACCTGTGCAATTGGCCATGCTGGGGGTGGGAAGCAGAATTGGAGAAGGCGGCAGGCAGAACAATCTCTGAACGGGTTCATGCGTCGTCTTCTAGTCACTACAGTCATTAGGCTAGGGGAGCACAGCTGCTACCTGGAGGATGCACAACTCCCAAGTCCCAAAGAAAAGCAGATTGTTGGGACTCAGGAGACCAAGGGGTCATCGGGGCACCGGAGTGATGTAGAGACTGTGTGACTTGGCCTGGCATGGAAGGAAGTGAGACTTGAATTTGAGTATCCTCCCAGTGGTAAAGAGGTTGTTTGGAATGGCCTTAGGCCAGTCAACATCTCTCAGTCTAGCTGACATCACAGAGTGACTGCAAAATGTTGTTTAAAAAAAGATAACCTGTCTAGAGCACCTTGGAAAAAGGATGAGGTAGAAGCCTGATAGATAAATGAAACAATAATCCTGAAAATTATCAACAGCAATGGCAGCATAGAACCTGCATTTTCGGCCTGGATGGAGGCTGGCCCCGGATTTTCAAGGTTCTCTTTGCATCCAGACTCTACTCCCCTCCAGCATATTCATCTGTGGTGAGAGATCAGGAATGATCCTTACCTTGGGTGGCTTTCCCCTCCATTTGTACCATGGCTTGTTGACCAAGCCAAGGTTTTCTCTTCTGCCACTGCTCAGTTGAGATGATGGAACTGGCTCCCTGCCACCACCAGCAGCCCAAGCAGCCCCCAGGGTCAGCCTTTCCTGTGGGGAGCTGCCACTGGAGACCTCCACCAGAGTGGAAAGTTGGGTTCTGCTCCAGTCTCCCCTCATTGATTTGACCTGCGTTTTTGGAGGTGTTGTAACTCTTGTAATCCTTAAAAGAAACTAAAGAAAAGTCAGCTGTTACTGTTATTATATGCAGCTTCTAAGTACGGGGTGCACTGATAGGTTTTCCTTTTGTATCACTCTGTTCGTTCATCAAAATGGTCTGAAGGAAGGTTGTTTAAGACCATTTTGATGAATGAACAGAGCAACACAAAAGGAAATACACATTGTGTGTGTGGCCACAGAATATATATACTGTGCTGAGCTGGACAGTCAATGCCTAAAGGCATCATATGAACTGCCCTGCTCTTCCCCAGATGTAAAACAAAAGCTTACCCTACTCACCCATGATGTATGGAACTTCTTGAACATGCTTCTCCTGTTGTATAGCACTGAGTCCTCTGCTTTCATTGATTTGCATGCCTTATGTATTTGGACATGGAATTATAGTGCTATGGATCTGTGACTCAAGTTTCCTCAAGAGGAAAAAAAGAGTACTAAAGGGACATAAATGTTTAAAGATGCTTACAGTATATAAAATATTACAGAAATCCATACGATTCATATTAGTGCAATATTGGGTCAATACAATGGGTATATTGTACAATTAGTAAAATACAACTTTACCAATGCAGCAGACAAAATCCAGATAGTTAATACAGTGGGGTCTGGACTTGAGAACTTAATCCGTATTGGAAGGCGGTTCTCAAGTCAAAAAGTTTGCAGGTCAAATCTGCATTTCCCATAGGAATGCATTGAGAACCATTTGATCCGTATCTGCTCTTTTCCGTCCATAGAAACTAATGGGAAGCTGCTATTCTGCCATCGACCACTAGAGGCGGATATTTTGTTTCTTTTTTTCTTAGGTCAGGAAAGGTTCAGGGAAGGCAGGGAAAATACAGTCCAGGCAGTTCAGTACCAGGCAGTCTGAAGACTGTCTCCCAATCCACTCTCTAAACGCTGGGAGGAGTGAGGAAGCAGACAGGCACCCTTTTCACTGGCCAACAGTTAACTGAAAGTTCAAATTTTGCACTTTCCCTGCCTCCCACGTGGGTTTTTTTCAGTTTGTAACTCAAATCTAAGTATGTAAGTCAAGTCAATATTTTCCTATGAGAGTGGTTCTTAAGTCAAAATGTTCTTAACTCGAGCCGTTCTTAAGTCAAGACCCCACTGTATTGACAAGACCTCCAGGTGCAATCCTGTTTCCGTTCCTTCTTCAGGATAAAACTATATACTGTAAATGGCAGAAATTGTATTATTGGACAGATATCTGTTGCTCTAAAACATCCATGAAACAGACATTTTGATCATTACTCTTTGAGTATCTGCAGCTCCAATATGTTCTAAAAATAGTTTTGGCCTGGAAGGTTGTAATTTATTCAGTTTAAAATGTTGCACTATTATGAATTGTGTTTACGGCCGTAATACTTTATGGCTGGAAAAAAATACAGTGAAGGAACTTTCTAGTTGTACTGGAATTTACTGAGAAACTGAAAATGTGGCTAGTTGCTATGGTGTGCAGAAACATTGCAGTTACAAAACTATGGTTTGTGAAGTTGGCTTGTTTCGATAAACCATGGTCAAGACAAACTAGTTTGCGGTTCAGACATAATGCTGATTGTGGTTGATTAAAAAGAGAAGGCTCATTCACATAATGCTAAGCATTATTTCTGAAGCAGTTCTGTGTGTAACAGCATCCTTCTAGAGCAGGTGAGGAAGAAAATAAGATTTTGTTCAGCCTGAGCCCCTGAAAACATGCTGTTCATATCCAGGTGGGCCTCAACAAGAGGATCAGAGGGAATGAGGAACAAGCAGCCTAGAATGGAGCAGCTCCCCATCCCTTCCAGGTCGCTGTCTCTAAATTCTGGGGAGTTTAGGATTGTTTCAGGTGACTGATGGTGAAAAACCTATTGGCTGAAATCCTGTTACTTAATGTAGTATATTACAACTGAGGTAGGCCTGTTTGAATCAGTGGAACCTATGTAGGAGTTAACTCGCTAAATCCCACTGTTTCAGTGGGCCTAGTTTAGTAGCAACTTACTACAAGAAGCAACAGGTTTTCAGCCAGTGTGTTAAAGGAGTTGCACAACAGCAGTTGTGCAAACAATAGGAGACCGTTTACTGCCTGTTGTATGCTCCATAGTTGTTTAGTTCTGCAGCAGGGTGTGTGAAGTTATGCAGTTGGGGACATGACTTGCAGCTGACATATTGCAAAAACCACCCCATTATATCTGTGGTACCTTGCAATAGGATTTCGGCCCGTAGGTGACAGGTGCTCCCCTTATGACACCGTTGACCACATGTATTTCCAGTGTGATCGCTCTGCTGCCAAGGTGAGATTGTTGTGGCTCTCTTAGTTGATGTGTCGGAGGAGTCATCCCCAGCAGGGAATTCTGGAGCCTCTGGGCCAACCAGTCATGGGTCAATGGAGCAAGCATGATCTGTGTTTCTGGTATCCCTTGTTTTTTTCCTGCCGGGTTAGCTCTATGGACAAGCAGGCAGGACTCCTGCAGATGAGGAGGGACCTATTTTGTGGGGCTGGGATGAGAACCTTGCAAGGCGTGTTAGGCGAGAGTGGGCATGAATTCGTTAGGAAATTGAATGAGTGTCTCATGTAAAAAATAAGAGGGGAAGACAGGTGTTGTCATGGGTGTGTTTCCTAGTGGGGGAAGCCAGCTTTGGTGTGCAAAAACTCTCTGAACTGTCTGCAGTCCTTGGAGCCCCTTGAGATTATCTGCCTGGCAGCTCCCTTTTCGCTTCCTGGTGAAACACCATCTGCCTTTCAATTCTGAGCTTCCTCCTCTCAGGTAAGGAGGCCACGGCTATCTTTCTTCAACCATCACCTCACGCTTCTTCCATTTCTGAGAAATACCTCTTCACCACCATCATCTTTTCTTCTTTTCTCTCTCGCTGCTCCTCCTCTCACAGGCTGCAGAGCGAGCATCTAATCGTATCTCCTCCTATCTTGAGGGCTCCACTTTTCCTCCGGCCACCCCGATGAGACCAGCGACCAGAAAGGTAGAGAAGGGCTGGGAAGCACCTCAAAAAAAAGGGTTGCCTGAGAAGGCAGCCATCAGCTGGGATCTGATGCACACCTGGGCGTTAACTGCATTGCATTTGGTGGGATTTACTTCCAGGTAGTTATTGTAGGGCCGGGTTGATGCGGACCAGAATTCAGGGTTGGGAAGAAAGTGGTGCTTGATAATGGGAAATGATGAAAATGTTGTGTGCTGTGAATGTGTAACCTAAGTTTAGGTAGATCTAGAAGATGACATGACTCTGGCTAAGCCCTTTGTCTGGCATCCTTTATTTCCATGGTTGATTCCTGCCATCAAGAATTCCAGACGCTGCCAGCTGTGGGGAACAAATCACCTAGTGATAATTAAAAAGCCAGCTGTCTTCGTAAAAGCTGTTCCTCTTGGTGTCATTCTTCTGTTTCTATTTTACACTCCTAACCTTTCGGCATTGTTTGCTATCTGTGATGTTCCTTGCTTTTCTTCCTTGCTCCTCCGGTTCTTCCATTCATAATGTGCAATCCATCTGCACTTTCCTGCTAAGCCACTGCCCTCAACCAGGACTGGATTGATTTCGAAGTGTCTGACAGGAGTAGTCACATGGGCCAGAAATGGACAACATCTGTGTATCTGGGGTTCTCTCGCACACCCTTTTGGACTTTGAAGGGCTGTGTGCATTTCTTTTAATTTACAAAGGCCCCTGGGGTCTCAGGTGGGGGCACCCTCTCCACCTTTTCACCCTGTTGCTGAACTTATTTTAGGTACAGGGGTTGCATTTTTGTGAGGGCAAAAGACATAAAAAGGTTCTAGCTTACCCCCGAGAAATTTAGCAAATCCCTGCCCTCATAGAAGATGGGAGGACTCCTTTAAGGTCAAAACTAAAGAGTTTCGAGAGGGGGGGAGCGTACAGAGTTCCTACAGACTACATTTCCCCCCTAGCACATACAGTATTAGGTAATTTGAGGTTGGAACTCTGGCTAGCTGAACTGGGTATGTAAGGGAAGGTAGCTTCGGTCTTTGGACTGCTTTAGGAGATATACTGTGGCCCAAGTGCCCTTGTGACTGTGTTTTATTGATGCTTCCGAGAAGACATCATAGGAGCGGGTTAATGTGGATCAGAACCTAGCGCTTACGTAGATGGAAAAAGCACTGATCCAGCCGAGAAGCTAAAACAGAAAGAAGTAGGTTAAGATTGTCCAGATTTGAATGTGGACTGTGCTCTAGAGCTAGACAATGATGTTCTAACAACTTAAAAAGGAAATGTGTGTAGAAAAACCCTGCTGTAACAACATAGGTTTACGTACGTGTGCATGTATCCTCAGCCTCTGTTTAGAGAAAGCCTAGAATAAATCCTGCCATTGTTTTTTTTCAGTCTCAGTTTTTATTGCATGCTTTCATCTAGAACAGTGGTTCCCAACCTTCGGTAACCTAGGTGTTCTTGGAGTGCAGTTCCCAGAAATCTTGGCCAGCCGAACTGGTGGTGAAGGCTTCTGGGATTGGGTGTTCTTGGAGTGCAATTCCCAGAAATCTTGGCCAGCCCAACCGGTGGTGAAGGATTGGTAGTTCAAGACCTGGGTTACCCAAGGTGAGGAACCACTGAGCTAGAACATTTGGCTACCGGAGCTAATTAATAATACAGATGAGAGAATGAGTTTAGAGAGATTATTTTGATGGCGTTAGGTAGTTGTCGGATCAATGCAAATTGACTAGACATGAATGACTCAAAGAAAAATCTCTTTAGGATAATTTTGTACTGAAAACTAAGCCTGTATTGCTAAATGTGACCCATTTTTGTCCACTGTTCCTTTGTCCTTTGTCTAGTTGCTAGTCTCTAGCAGCAGTTTCTGTGGAAAGCAGGGAGGCTGGTGAGTTGTACAATCAACTCAAAGTTGAAGAACTGGGAGTGTAGACTTGGGCTACCTTCTCCTTTCCTCTCCCACTCTGTGGCCTGAATGTTGGGAGGACTCCATCAGGTTGTGACTAGGGAACTGATCCTGCAAACATGGGGCTCAGTTTTTAGAAGGTGACATACCAAACCCTTCTCCTTCCATGACACTCTCTTGCTCTTTGGGCTTTCAGCTGCTCCACGAAGAACTGGCCCTGCAGTGGGTGGTGAGCACTAGCTCTGTGCGGGAGGCTGCATTGCACCAAGCCTGGTTCTTCTTCCAGCTGATGGTATGTTGCAAGCGTCTCTGAACAGACTGAATTGTCCATGTGGCCCCTTCTCTGGTTGCCTGCTTTTGTCTTGTCCAATCCAGATGGTGCTGTATAATTTCTGTTTTGTGACATCCGTTGCATCACAGCAAATAGAAAGTTAGAGAAAACTGGGTTGTCCCCAAAATTAGGCAGACAGGGCTTCCTGTTGTCACTTTTCTGCTAATCTTAATCGGCTTCTTTAAAAAGCACTAAAGTTCCAAAATGTGAGAAGAATGAGTAAGTGATTGTGCAGAGTTCTGGGTTGGTGTTTTTATTCAGGTGTGTGCTTCTCCATGTTGGAAGGAAAAGAGAGTAGCTGCAGTGTAGGAAGAGGAATCTGACTGGTGGTACCTCCTGTTTATGATGATCCTGACGTCAGAGTTCTTAGATTTAAAGTGAAATCTAGGTGACCAGTTTGCTGTCAGAGAGATTTCGTCCCTAATCCGGCAAAACCAAAAGTAAAATAAAGAAGACACAAATGTTGTGGCACCTTAAAGGCTAACTGCTATATTGCAGTGTGAGCTTTCATGGACGAGTCTACTTCCTCAGAGATTAGAGTGGGACAATATTTATACATTTATACGTATGGTAGCTCCAAAACAAAGAGATTGTTTGTTTCCTGAGCACAAGTTGTTGATAGTGTGGCATTTCACACCTGACAATGACCTTTAAGGCCCCTGTTGATGATCAGATATTTAGTGGACCATGCTGTACCAAAAACCTTCTGATCGATATACGTACCTACTTGCATCCAGGTTCCATCTTGAAAACAGGACAAAATCCATTGTTTATAGCCAAGCCCTCAGGTACAATCGCATCTGCTCACACCCACAAGATTGAGATTCTAAACTCAAGGATCTACAAAATGCACTCCTCAGATTACAATACCCATCCAGTATGATAAAGGAACAAATTAACAGGGCAAGACAAGTACCCAGAAGCACCCTACTGCAGGCCAGGTCCAGAGGAGAAAATGACTGAAATCTGCTAGTGGTCACTTCCAATCCACAATTGAGACCATTCACACTCGTCGTAAGTGTTTTCCAACCCACCCTTGACAAGAAAACTTCACTCTTCCAAGTGCTTAGCAGCAGACCTATTCTTGCTCTCAGACAAACCTTCAATCTCAAAAAAACTACTGACACACAATGGATTACATAACACTGATACCAAGATGGGAACTAAATCTTGCTGCAAACCCAGTTGCCAATTCTGCCCCACTATCTATCTATCTATCTATCTATCTATCTATCTATCTATCTATCTATCTATCTATCTATCTATCTATCTATCTATCTATCTATCTATCTATCTATCTATCTATCTATCTATCTATCTATTTAATATGCCGCCCACTCTACCCAGAGGTCTCTGGGCGGCTACAATAATTAAAATTCAATACAATAAAAATAAAATGATTAAAATACAATTAAAATTGCCATCATCAGGACCCACAGTTGATGTTATTTCAATTAAAAGCCTTCTGGAACAGGAAGGTTTTGACCTGGCGCCGAAATGTCATCAACATCGGCGCCAGACGAATTTCAGTTGGAAGGGCGTTCCATAGTCTGGGGCAGCTGCCGAAAAGGCCCTTTGTCTACAAGCCATCCCTCTTATCTCCTTGAGGGATGGCTCTTTCAAAAGGGACCCCTGGCTAGATCTTAACTGCCGGGTAGGCTCATATGGAAGGAGGTGGTCCTTAATATTAATATTCAATTAATATTCAATGTTTTCCTCCACCACTGTTATTTAATCTCTGCCCACCCACTCCCGAAATAAAGAGACGGACACAGGTGTTGAAGTTAACTAGGGCCACACTTTATTGCTTTTAACTTCTAATCACTCTCCTCCTGCAGAGGGGCCTGGATGTCATGTGGATCCCTGGGGCAAGCTCTAGGGATATCTCTTACCCCCTCTCCAATCCTAAGCAGGCGAGTCCCAAGCCCCTGGTCAGAGCTGTCCCCTGAACAGCTTGTACCTAGCTGGCTACAGACTGGGAAGAAAAACCTCCCAATCTGCTGTCCATCCAATTGTCTAGAACTAAGACATGCAGTGGATGGGACTATACCGCATTCATCCATCATCCCAGCAAGTGAAATGCTGTGATGCTGGGTGCAGTAGAACCCCATGTGCTTTTTGGGAGCTCACTGAAACTCACCTTCTCTTCCACACTACCTGACAGTTTGGCCTATTTAAACGTGACTCAAACCTATAATAGCCCTTAGAATCCCATGGATAAACAGTGTGGGATTGGCATATAAAAAGTGGGCGGATGTATTTTTGCCTATCAAGTGAGACGGACCCAAAATTCCTATCCAGCCCCGAAGCAACTACCTCAGCCACACTGGACCCAGGGTGGGCAGGTTAACTTAAAGTGTGTGAAGTATATATGGGAGAGAGCAGGTCTGGAAAGGACCTTGTGTTCTTCCCAAACATTTACTTACCTCTCCAGCCAACAACCTATTATGTTGTTTAGTCGTTAAGTCGTGTCCGACTCTTCGTGACCCCATGGACCAGAGCATGCCAGGCC